TTTTTTTTTGAGTTGGAGTCTCATTCTATCACCCAGACTGGAGTGCAGTGGCCACTCCCGGCCACTGCAGCCTTGACCTGCTGGGCCCCAGGGATCCTTCCGCCTCAGTCTTTCAAGTAGCTGGAACTACAGGCGTGCACTACCACGCCCACCTAATTTTTTTGATTTATTGTAGAGATGAGGTCTCACCAAGTCGCCCAGACAGGTCTCGAACCTGTGGGTTCAGGCAATTCACTCACCTCAGCCTCCCAAAGTGCTGGGATTACAGGCTGAGCCACCAAGCCTGGCTAGCAAGCTGAATTCTTAACCACTATGAATCTTATGACATTGTCTTTTAACATTGGGTCTGTAATGAAATCTTCCACACATATTTGTTGTAAAATATTAGCTGTAGAATGTTTACTTCTCTACCGGACCTATATAGAGTGCCTGAAAAAATTAGCTATGATTATAATATTTATGTCATTAACACTCAATTGAATTCACAAAGATACACTATTATCAATAATGATAATTAAAACCAGAAAGATGTTGCACCCATACTTAGGAATGGCATCTAGAGCAGTGCAACAACAGCTACATCAATTATTTACATATCAACTATTCCTTGAGTTATCCTATTAATCAAGTTTTGAGGTTGTTGTATTCATTGTGAAGTTAATGTTTGAAAAGTAAGGCAGTGAGATATAAAATCATTAATATAAAATAATGTTTTAATGAGACAATAGCTCTTAAGAAAGGTCAAGAAGATCATTAAAATGATATCTGGAAATTTAGTAAGTGAAGAAGTGGAGTAATACTTATGAATTACTATATGACACTTCAGTGCTAAGAGATTCTATAATGTGGTCTATGAAAAATCAAATTTTAAATGAAGGAAAATAGTGCTATACAATTTGTGGATACAGGCAATAACATTTTTAAAGTCATCTTATGTGTTTTTAAGGCTTGATTGTGTGTATCTAGAAAAATATTTTTAAAAAAATACATATGAGGACAAGAATGTGAGTAGTTGTAAAATAAAATTAACATTGCCATACAAAGATCAAGACTATTTCCTTGGAAGAATATACCAGGTTTTTATTCTCAAATTATTTAGCTCTAACTACTTCTCTGCAATTAAGTCTTTTTTAAATAAAATAAACTTATATATACCATGGCCTTTCTGACTCATTTAAGGTATCTCAAATACTTGCTATTCATATAGTAAATACTCTTAACCCAACCAACTCTGAAACATTTTAAAATCCAGAGTTACAAAGTTAAATTTTGCCTCCAGGAAGATGAAAATAATTGAATCAATTTTGTATTCATGACTTTGTAAAAATATTTGGATACAAACTTATCTGGTTACTCCTTTATTTCATCAAAATAAATGGCATTGGAATAAAACTAAAAGTTATAAAGAAGCCGGGCTCTGTGGCTCAGCTTGTAATCCCGTGCCTTTGGGAGGCTGAGGTGAGTGGATTGCCTGAGCCCGTGGGTTCAAGACCTGCCTGGGCAACTTGGTGAGACCTCATCTCTACAATAAATCAAAAAATCAGCCGGGCTTGGTAGCACATGCCTGTAATTCTGGCTACTCGGAAGGCTGAGGCAGAAGGATCACCGGAGCCCAGCAGGTCAAGGCTGCAGTGGCTGGGAGCGCCCACTGCACTCTAGTCTGGGCAACAGAGTGAGACTCCAACTCAAAAAAAAAAAAAAAGTTATAAAGAAAGATTTAAAAAATATACATTCACTACACATTTATGGTAAGTTTCTAGTTTAAAAGCAAGAAACAAATAGATTATTTGTAATGATTTTATTTAAAATAATTGAATATAATCCAGAGTTTTGGAAATTATATTTTATCTCATTTTATTTTATTTTTAAATAAACAGGGTCTGATGCTAAAATTATATGAAATCACCAAGTATTTTATCACTTACAGCTTGAAAACTCCAATGGACAGGAATGTTCATCCATAGGAAAGTTGTGAAGCTGGAGATAACATTCTGCATTTATTGTCAATCTATTTAGATGAAAAAACAAGTACTGAATAAAGAGAAATTACCTTAAGCATTAATAAGTTTTGTCTCATTTTAAAACATGATTTTGACTTACAGTAATAGAATATAATATGCTGGGATATAATAATAATTCCAAAGTCTCAAAGTATTAAATGGCAATATTAATTCACAAATGAGTATAAAAATTCTAAGATTTTTCTCTGTAGCCAACTAAGAGGCCTCTGTATACACTTCAACATGATATGTGTGTTTCCATTTAAAAGTTCATACTTCACTATCTCAACAAACATACACATGCACACACACTAGATTAACAGATTTTACACGGTTAAGTATGCAGATGTTTTAATCTTAGTTTATCATGAAGATCTCTCCATTAAGAACAATTCTTAACAAGCAGATATGTTCAAGGCATTGAATTAAATAAACTTAAAGCTTATATATCGTGCTTCATTGAATTCTTTCTTAGGGATATTTTACTACACCTTTGAAAACCAGAGTATTATAAAATCTTACAGCAAGGTGTGCTCCTAGAGAAAATCTTAGTCAATCATTTGCATTGTAAGTTTAAAAAAAAAAATCCATAGTGTTTATGCTACAACCTCTTCTGCTTTAAAGGAGAAATTCAAAGAATGTTTCCTCTGCCTTTCACATAATAATAACTTTGGGCTTAAAAAAGCAATGCCAAGATATTTTTACCAATTTGGATTTTAGCATATGAAAGAGCTTCATATTTCTCACTTTGTAGCTTTGAAGAAGGAAAATTTAAGAGCTGATCAAATAGTAGTATCGAGACAAAAATAAAGCAACTACAAATTTTTTAAAACAAAATTACCTTAGAGTATATAGAACACGTCCATCATTCCAAATTCGAAGCAGACGATTAGGAGTTGTTATCCAGTGAGCATCAGATTTTCTTGAGTTTCTGAAGAAAGTGTCAGGAATCCAAATTTTTCCAACCATATTACTGTTAAGCATAAGCACTTTCATGGTACTATTGAATTTTAAACGACTGTCAAACCAGGTTTGGGCAAAAATGATATCTATTGTATATTCCTAAAAGATAAGAAGAATAATGACATATTAGTAAAGCCACTATTTCAGATGGTTTTCTCAGAAGTTTGCATTTTTGTATGATAAAGCTCCTGCAAGTAAATAGCATTTATACTCAGTGTTTATGGAGAAAAAGTATGTCATTTTTCTTAACCTTTCTTTTTAATTATTTACATGAATCATGTAAAATAAAGTCCAACATTTCCAGTAACTACTGCTGTCAAGTTTGGCATTATTCTTCATTCTTTAAAAAAAAGTTTATTTAAAATGTTTTAATATGTAGAATATAACCTTTAAATATGAAGGAAAATTATCTTACTGTTAGCAATTATATTAATTTTTGTGATGTTTACATGGTGCTTTAGACACAAAAAACTAACAAATAAGTACAAAATAAAGATGCAAATATTCATCGAATTATCTGAAAACCCTTTTAAGTTCCTTTGTCCAAAAAATTAATTCCAATCATTTATATCCACTGTTTTAAAATATCTTAAAGTGGCCCGAAACAAACCTATTGAGCAAATATAACATGCCAAATGCTATGTTAAGAGTTTTTCATGTAGAGCCCAGCGTGGTGACAAATGCCGGGAGCCCTAGATAATCAGGAGACTGAAGTAGGAGACTTGAACGCAGGAATTTGCGACCAGTCTAGGCAGCATAGCAAGATTCTATCTCTTAAAAAAAAAAAAAAGCAATAAAGAACAATAAATAAAAAGAGTTTGCATGTATCATGCCACTAAATCCTGACTAAGATCTTGTGAAATATGTACTACTACAATCATTCCTTTTTAGTGATGTTTACTGAATAATATAAATAATATATAATAATATAAGCAATTCTTTCCACATGGAGCTAATAAGTAGCTGATATGGAAACTAAGCCATTGCTGGATGAATTCCAAGTTCATATCCATCACAAAGTATATAATGGTGGTTATAGTAAAATCTGATGGACTCTAAGTTTGGAGCAATGACTTTGCCAACAATCAGCAAGTAACTGTAAACAGGAAACTGTGTGACTATGACAGAACTCTCAGGAGTAGGTGATTAAATACTATCTCCTTGTGTATCCTGTACAAATGTCTGTACGAAATGAATTTGGCAATATTAGTGAATATTAGTGGATAAGAATGCAGCAATAGGCCAGGTGTGGTGGCTCAAGTCTGTAATACCAGCACTTTGGGAAGCCAAGGTGAGGGGACTGCCTGAGTCCACAGGTTCAAAAACAGCCTGGGCAACTTGGTGAGACCTCATCTCTGCAATAAATAAAAAAAATTAGCCAGGTGTGATGGTGCATACCTATCACCCAAGCTACTCAGAAGGCTGAGGTGGAGGATCACCTGAGCCCAGGAAGTCAAGACTGAGCTGTGATCATGCCACTGCACTCCAGCCTGGGTGACAGAGACCTTGATTCAAAAATAAATTTAAAAAATTAAAATTAAGAAAAAAAGATAAAAGTAAGTTGAAAATTTTATGAAACTTTATATGTTACTTGTGGTGGGAGAGATTGGTTGCTTGCTCTCAATGTTATAGTAGCAATTGACCCCCATTTACCTGAAGGTAAATACTTAATATTAGAAATGAAAGTATAATTGGGAGTTTAGCTAATGAATAAAAAACTGAAAACAAAATGCCAAGGGGATTAGTAAGTAAACAGAGTAGGAGTCAACTTAATAATAAGGAAGTAGTATAAATCCTAGTTCCCAGGTAAACAATTTATAATTATAATTTTCTTAATTGGAATATAGAAATAAACTGAGAGAGGGAAGCTCACTTTAGATGAGAAATATTACAATTTTGGAAAAGCACATCCATATTAATTATTTTATTTTATTTTATTTTATTTTTCTTTATTTTTTTTTTTTTGAGTTGGAGTCTCACTCTGTCGCCCAGACTGGAGTGCAGTGGCCGCTTCCGGCCACCGCAGCCTCGACCTGCTGGGCTTCGGTGATCCTTCCACCTCAGCCTTCCAAGTAGCTGGAATTACAGGCATGCGCTACCACGCCAGGCTGATTTTTTGATTTATTGTAGAGATGAAGCAGGTCTCAAACCCGCGGACTCAGGCAATTCACTCACCTCAGCCTCCCAAAGGCGGGGGATTACATCTGAGCCACCGATCCCGGCTCATATTAATTATTTTAAATCTAACAAGGGCCAGGCGTAGTGGCTAGTGGCTGTAATCCCAGTACTTTGGGAGGCTGATGTAGGAAAACCATTTGTGGCCAGGAGTTTGAGACAAGTCTGGGCAACAGAGCAAGACTTTGTCTATACAAAAACATCAAAGAATTAACCAGGCGCTGTGGCATATGCCTGTAGTTTCAGCTACTCAGGAGGCTGAGGTGAAAAGCTCATCTGAGTCCAGGCCTTGAGGCTATGGTAAGCTGTGTTCATGCCACTGCACTCCAGGCTGAGTGACAGAGTGAGACTTTGAGTCAAAAATTAAATACATACATACAATATGGCGAGACCTCGTCTCTACAATAAATCAAAAAATAAGCTGGACGTGGTGACCCATGCCTGTGGTTCCAGGTACTTAGAAGGTTAAGGCAGAAGGATCACTTGAGCCCAGCAGGTCAAGGCTACGGTGATCATGAGCGTGCCACTGCACTCCAGCCTGGGTAACAGAGTGAGACACAGACTCAAAAAATATAAATAAATAAATATATAAACACATGCATACATATATAAATATATAAAATAAAATAAAATGTAACAAGGGCAAGATATTATGTGACTGAGTATGAGATGTGTGTTTTATAAAGGGATTAAGCTATATATATATAAAGTTATGAATGATTTTTCCATGTAATGTGCTATAATGTATTGTTGTAACATGTAATCATTCAATAGTTTACCTATACATATAGTCGGCAGTTATTTTATGTCAGTCACTGCTCTTCATGGATGTGAAGACATGAAGACTCTGTGCATAAAAGTACTTGTATTGTGGCTCTCTCTTTACATAGTCATGCTAGAGGAACTTAGAAAGAAAGAATTACAATTTTGTCTTTTGCAATTTAGTTGGAAGTGTTACAGAGTCAAACTGTGCTGTGGGGTATAGACTGAAAGTACTTTTGCAATGATGTAAACCTTATTAATTAGATAGCCATAACCCTGCTGATACACTGTTTGTAGGTCAAGCTAAGTCATAAGGCAAACCACATCCCATAATACAGAAAAATGAAGCATATTTATGCTATAAGATGCTTAATCGTCTTATTGAGTAACATTAATTTAGTACATGACATGGGTGTACATTGAGACGAGCCAAGGGACCCTTATATATGTCACTGATAGACCTACTCATTGGACCTTGTGAAAAATTCTTGGACAGCTTCACAGAAGTAATCTTGAATCCCAATTCTTCCCTCCTGCTACTCACACCAAATGTCTTTCCTTTGGAATCAATTAATATTTATCCAAACAGCTTCCTCACCTGACACAAATGATTAACCATTCAGAGTCTAACAGCGTAACCTGTGCTAATGATATGGTTTCTGATTTAAATAGTAAACACAGAAAGAATGATAGCTCACACTCATTCTGTGATTCAGTCTGAAAAGAGTATTTAGTCAATGTTATTTGCCAGAAGTAGATCTTATTTTTGTATGAGATTGAACAGCAGAAATTGCTTAAGATTCGAGGCAGGATTATGGCTTGGCAAATATCCAACTTTGGTTGGTAGAGGGAATTTCATGCTATTTGGTGCATATTCTTAACTGCAGTGTCCCTAGCTAACATGGTATTAAAGGTGGTATGTGAGAATTCATTTGTCTAAGGGTAAAATTTTGGAAACAGCTGTGAATTCTGCTTAGTAGCCGATAGCTTCCTAGAACACCTGATTCTAAAAGTGCTAGTCACTATTGGAAGGGTTGTGGTTTTCAAGTGGTCAAACTTTCCTAAACAGAGAATCTTGAGGAAATGTGGAAAGTTTCCCCTTCATAATTGTTCCCTCAACCTAAGATCAAGAAGAGAAAGATACAGAGTGAAGTCTCTGGTAATCCATTCTTCCCAAATCCCTTACATAGGCAAATACTCCCAAACCCTTTAAGGTACTAATTTTTATTAAATGCCTCACTGAGATAAGGAAGCCGTTAAAGTCAGAGCCATGTTACATGTAATAAAAAAATCCAATTTCATTTACTCATTTTTATTAGTGTAATTTTCAAAAAAGAAAGATCAAATTATGCTCTTGTTCTTCATGTTCCTATATACAGGTTATAAATATCTACATAAGAAATAAGCAAATAAAAACTACATAAGCTGAAACTTCCATTTACTTAGGACAACAAGTACAATAGCTTCTAAGATAAGCATTTTAAGATAAGGAACAGTGTATTTAACATTTGAGATCAATGTGCATTGTGAAATTTACTGTAATCTCCTTGCAAATTAGTTAACAAAATGTCCTTACTGAATAAATGTGATGAAGCGAGCCATTCTGACTTCTAATTTAATCAAATCAAACTATAATTGATGAAAGTGTGTGGTGTATTCTTTTTAATATGCTGTCAGTTTGCAACTGTGCACTGTCCCTCACATTTTAAAGCACAAGTTAAATCAATAATACTGTCTTCCTAGTAATGTGAGAAACTTTACACAAAATTCAAGACCTACCAAAGCAATTAACCTCGGTATATAATTTTATTGCCAAGTTTGATGTATTCTGATCTGTTTTCCCCACCTGGCCATTAATCTTTCCCAAAACTGTCTAATCGCATGGACAAAACATAATGGTGGGCCAAATCACTGTTAGCATTAAGTTAGATACTTCCAGAAAAGGCACAAAAGTAGTTAATCCAAAGCACAAATAACTTTAGTGGTAAAAGTTTACAGGTATCAGCTTCATTTTGCTGAACTGCTGTAAAGCACTTGTTTCTCAATACTATCACAATAAGGTAAGCAAAAAACTTAGTTTCATTTTATTTTTCAAATAGAAAAAGAAATAACAAACAAAGAGGTTTTGCTGGCTGCTTAAATCATTGAAGTCATCCAGCAGT